CGTAGATCTATATAATTAATACGCGAACACAAAGTTTGTCGGTTGAACTCCTCCGTCATTTCTTGACCGATTTTATCCATTGACGTATCATTGGAAAGAGCGTGTCGCGTAGATTTGCAAACTGGTCTTGAACTGGATTTGAAAAAGTCCCTTGGGCTCTACCCCAGTGGCTTTGAAGGTTCCCATGTTATCCTTATGAAGATCATAATTGTTAAAATTTTGATCAGCTATATAATTTAATTGCTGTCAATATTTAAACTGCATTTCAAAGAAAAGCGTCCTACAAAAATTAGATCTTTAAAAAATAAATCATTGAAAGAACCAATTTGCAAGTTATTGAAACATTAAAAGTCATAGAACGCCCCCTAGTAGAAGAAATAGAGATAATGTTTTTTTTTTAGAATTAACTATCGTCATTAGCCTGTATAATGAAGAACACCTACAAGATTCAGATTCCTACAAACTATGAACGAGGATGTTAGCTGAAGTGCTACAAATTTTATTAGGAAACATGGACTTAACTTTGTGATCATTGCAGAGGAAAACCCTCTAAAGCCAAATAAATCTGGTACGTCAATGACATTAATCTATGTTTTCATAAAAGTCAAACAATTTTAATAATAGCCTATGAAAATATCCAAAAGCCCCTTACTAACATTTTACTGAAGGCTTTTAATTATTATTCATATAATGCTAAGGGAAACAAAAATCAACTGAACGACAGAAGGTCTTTAACTTTGCATTTTCTCAGTTAAATATAATTAACGTTATTGCAACTAAACAAAAAATACACCAATTGAACAAATACAATCGTGACAGACAACAGGAAGTCCTTATGGTGATGAAAACAGATTCTATCCTCATTAAAGAATTAATGAAATTTGTAAACTTACTGCTGGCGACAAGGGTGGTAGCATGCATAGGTTTATCAATAACGAAGATAAACATGGACAACCATATGCGGCTATATATATTTTTAGGAAATGTTGATTACTGCTATGTACATCGTGAGTATCTCCATATGATACACACCAGTAAGCTTTGAGTTGACTCTTTTAAACTCATTGTAAATATTACTGTTATCGTTTTTGAAATAATTTCTGTAATACCAGTACCTTGCAATTGCTCGAATTCGAGCAAAATGTACACTAGTTAGTATTGGTAACAGATTCCTTGCTCTCATAAACATATGGTTTGATGCCACAAACAAATTAATTGGACAATCCGTTCTCTACAAATTATTTAAGTATCATCCACTTATTAGCGCTTGCAACATAAATAGCTCCATAATATCATATTTTAATTTGTCTAAAAAAATGTAACAAAAAAGGAACGGATGGCGTTTTTGGCCTCTAGGGATCTCAAAACGAAAATTAATTCGGTCCGGGTCCAGGTCTTACATGAGTACTACGGTAATAGCTTATTCCCTATATGGGAAATTAGCTAAAACACACAACTGATATTGCTTACATATGTTGTGTATACAATTAAGTGACTCTCAAGGCCCATAGACTTTGGATGAAGAATTATGTGTTCCAACTAGGGAAACAAAGAGGTGTGTGGTCTCTGTTAAAAATTTTTAACATTTGCCCGTCCACATAAGACTACAGATCTGTGCGTGTAACGTATCCAGCAAAGCAAGGGATGAGCCAGTACAACAGTACGAAGGTGAACAGTAGGCCTACTGATAAAATGTTTGCGGCAGTTAACAGAATCCCACTAATTTTACTATATACTTTCGATTATTATTACTATTATCTCTCTTGTAAGGTTTACAATAGTTATTTGTGCAACTAGTGAGAAAAGTGAGCAATTGACTCACTCGAGAGAAATCCTTACTCACGAGCCGTAGGCGAGTGAGGAATGGTTTCTCGAGTGAGGCAATTGTACTTTGAACTCGAGTTGCACATTATACTTTTCCTACAGTTACCATAAAACAAATAAATTTTTAAAGAAACATAACCTATTTTTACACAGAAGTGAGCTTTTAACATAACATTTAATGTGAAGTGACAAATACAACAGTACAACAGCTGACCAGTTGATTTACAGCCAGTGCTGCCAACGTATTTCGCGCGCATACGACGTTGCCTGCATGTTACGCGCTCACTATTTCGTGCCTTCTCGTTGCAAATCTGGAGTGAGACAAAGTAATTAGAGTGAGACAATGTTAACATTGTCTCACTGATGAGCGAATTGGCCACTTTGCTTTCTCAAATCAGTGAGAGAACATGTACATTGTTAGGTAACTGTAGGAAAAAATAAATTTCACTGGCTATTAGAATAGCCTACATTAAATTATGTTTCTTAAATAAGATCCTTCTTGTGTCTGCTTATTTATTCTCCTTATTGGTATGACAAGTATTAGCTATATCTATATATTAATAGGCAAATATGTTTCTTTAAGGCCCTTTTCTCAGCTCGTGTGCATCGCAAGGAAAATCTACGCATACTGTTAGAAACATATTTTCCTGTAGATAAACAGAACAACTTAATAAATTAAAAAAATGATTAAAAATAAGTACGAAAACGAATTTAACATAAACAAAAAACTAACATTTGGATTATGAGTTAAAATTCTGGTGACGCAATAACAACGATAAATATACAGAAAATCAAAACAAATTGAAGACTGGTACACAATCATCACATGTTTGATTTTCAGCGCGGGATGAATATAGATAAGTTCATATTTTATTTGGATTGTGGTCGAATTTTGACCACTGGACGACATCAATTCTTATATTATAGTACTTAACTCATTAAGGTACTTAAATAATACCTAAATGATAAATACCTTATATTTAACTCAAATAAAAGAATCTGGTATTAAGTATAGATGTATTTACTCAAAAACATATTTCTATGATAATTTAGTCCCGAAATCCAAATGTTTAGACCTATCTATAGATTATATCCGCTTGTTTGGATCATACAAATCTAGATAGTATTTTTAAAATTTTAAATATGGTATTTTTTTTATTAAACCCATTATGCACTACAGACATTTTACGTACAATTTACTTTGCTAACATACACTCTCATATTTGTTACAGAATAAAGATTTATGAGGGAACAAGTAATTGTAACTATAATCAAATTTTATATTTACAAATGAATGCTACAAGATGAAACCTTAAGGTGGATTAATCCTGTGTAAATTTTTTCCGAAAAATAGGAGATGAAAAATAGTGGAAAAAAGGCACTACGACTTATTTGCGTTGTGCATCACGAATATTATGTAGAAAAAATTTCGAAATTTCGTACATACAGCTGAAGAAGTTAAGACTAAATATTTTTCATAGTTTAGAAATTTTAAAACGTGAACTAATACTGTATTTCCTTAATATTGTTGTTGGAAGACGGCAATTGCTAAAATACCGTGCGCGTAAACTAATTCATTCAAACCTCGTGGTGGTCAT